TGAAATGAAATATAATATTAAACACATAATATACACAATATCGCTACTGTGATCACTCTGCAAACATAATATGAAATACTTATGTTCTGGTAACATTTAATAAAGCAGAATGCAACCTTGTGCGAATGACACATTATAAGAAATGATATCATCCGAATAGACATGCTTGTATTTAGGTTTGAAACGACCTTATAGCCGAGGTATATTTAATAGAGCGCTTTCTCTTATTCGGCGCTTGTCTGTAAAAGATCATTAGGAAAAACGGGGCGTTAAAAAACATAAAGAAATTTGGGCTAAGGTTATAACGAGTCAAGGTTGTTTGTTAACATCAATATTAACGGGGCCCTATCGGATATAGTAAGTAATAAACGCTGTTAAAATCATCGTATTTGAACAAAATTTAATTGGTTTTCATCATAACATCATTTAGTCGAGTATCTGGGAGCATGGGAGCATTTTCAACGAATATAGAAATTTATCTAGTTTTTGTCAACATATTTTTTGTGAGTTTTGATTAGAGAAGCACAAATTAAAGTCTATTCAACTCAGGAAAATGTCAGTTCAATAGCGAAAATGTAATAAATATCAGAACATTTACATTTTTTTTTTATAGAACAGGGGCAAACGGGCAGGAGGCTCACCTGTTGTTAAGTGATACCGCCGCCCATGGAACTCTCAATGCCAGAGGGCTCGCGAGTGCGTTGCCGGCCTTTTAAGAATTGGTACGCTCTTAAAGGACCCTAAGTTTGCATTGTATTTTTGTAAGTAATAGTAACTCTACATAGTCCACATCACTTTTTATTCGTATATATATTTTCTTCTTACAAATAATAATAATTATAAAACTGTTTTTTTTACTTTTGAAGTCCTGTAATCCTGAAATGAAGCATCAGGGGTTACATAGCCTTAGGTATATCGAAATGGCTGACTCAAATGAGGATGAAGGGTATTCCGTCCGTCAAGAAAATTATTGGATATTATATCATAATATACAAATATATCCTATATCCTCCAGCATATGATCAAGTATTAATTGCGGCCATTGAAAAATCCATTGCTGCACAGCTGGTGTTCAAAAACACTACCTCAGGCATAGATACTGCTAGGTTATTATTATTTGACGTAATAATTAATAACTTGGTTTTATGTTGAAAATGATTAAAGTCCCTCTTCACAATAGTTTGGGTTTTTTCCTTACAACGTAAAGTTTGTCAAAAAGGGACTTACGACTGATGAAGAATTGATAAATAAGGAAATAAATATTTATCTATGTGTGTTGAAGGCTCAAGAAATATTTCTATTAATCCATCAGTGTTTTTAACGAATTAATCTAATTAAAAACATACAATGCTGTCAATTAGTTGAGTACTGTGGATTTATAACCAGTGTACGGCTTCCACAGTGTCGTTAACCTAATTGTGCGAATAATGGAGTATAATATTACCGGGCTTTGCATAAGCGCAATTTACTAGAGCGAATTTAGTTATCTGACATACAACTATTTGGACTAAGTACCTGTACTGAATCAATGTTAAACCAAACAATACATGAAAATATATTCTTAACATCTCACTTGCGTACGACTGCTAAATACAATAATTAAAAATGGCAAGAAGTGAAGCATGCGATAGTGACCAATATATTCACAATTACGGTTTAATTGATGACAATTATTATTGTAGAATAAAAATCTTTATCTACAGTTTCAAACTTACTACACAACCTAAACTGCAAACACAATTTTGTTGGTCAAAAATGCGAAAAAGCCTTTTGAAACTTTTAAAGTAATTACTCGTTTAAGTAAGTTATACCTACATAGTTCTTATATACTTCCGTTGAATAAGAATCGTGAAAGTAGGAGTGTGGTCTGGCAGTAGAAAATAGATTTGGTGTCGTAGAGTCCGTTTTTTATACAGCACTGATGGATCGTCTTTCCTGCTTCAAGAAATTGGATTCAGTTTAGTAAGTTTTTGATATTAAAAGCTGATCCACTAGTTACTTTGCTCCGTCAACAAACGATTTCGTCTTCGCAATACTATTTCGAAAGCAGTATTAAAATATGTCAAATTTGATGAAGGACAAATGAAGAAAATAAAGTTATTGCGTCTTTATGTGTGTCATAATGTATGAGAGCAGGTACAATTAAATGATGCTTATTATTTTAGCTTTCTTCACTGTCTTAACCAGAAATTAATTTTCAGTGCTGTAGCCAACGCATGCTTTGATGCAGATGTTTTCACGTTTTAAATTGACTTTGATAAAGTTTATAGAAGTTACGGCCACTTTATAATAATAACGAATGCTGCTCATCCCACTATATTAAATAATAGAAAGACAATTTATAAACTCAAAATGAAAATTATTCCACTTTTATTTATAAAGGTTTTTTATCTTGTTATTTCATAATTCAGCTAAAACTATATCCAGCGGTAAATAAACAAAACCTAATCTTAAGCCTATGTTAGCTAAACAGGTGTTCGATAATAAACACTGGTTATTTCTTATCAGTAATCTCGTTATCAGCGTTTCTGAGGATTGCATTTATACGTTTCTTTCATGCGTTATTATCGATGTTAGATTATTAAATAATGAACAACTAAAATGCATGAGTTAGCACGACCAAATCGCAATGTTTAGCATTGTTCTAGTAAATAATGTTTTAGATTACTATACTATACTGTTTTTTACGCTAGCTTTAGTTATAATTTTCTTTTTACTAAAACAATATGTATTTGTAATTATTTAATAAATCCTTATGAAAGCTCTATAAAGTTTGAACCAATTAAACTTGATACAACCATTTTGATATAATTATAAATAGAGACATTTATATATTATTGAATAACTTGCATAAGGTTTTCATAGAACTACTATAAATATATTTATTTAGATATTTTATACTCTAATAAATTAACGCTTTCCTGCTAGCAGTAAGTTTTTTCCTAACCACAATTACTAACGACATAATATTATATTTTTGATATGTTTTAATCGAAAAAGTGCGGGAATTTGTTAACATATTAAATGTTTTTTGTTTGATTATGTATATTTGTGTATCTTGATAACACACTGTATACCAAATAACGCAGGTCCATGGGTTCCCACCCAGCGAAACAATTTTTCATCAGATCAGAAAATTAAGATTTCACCGAATGAGGTCTGATTTCAAATCGAATAATTTCTCTTTTCATCAATCAATGAACTATGGTTCTAGAAACACAATTCTTTACATGTGATTTTCTGTCGGAAATAAGTTCCGAAATTGATTACATGGCCTTACTCTGGCTATGCTGCTAACATCCAAACACTAATATCGCTAGTGCAGCTACGTCTCAATAGGAAACTGTTTAGAGAACCAGTAAAAAAATTAAAAAAAAAATTAGTATTACCATTGAAAATTTAATCATTGTTTTATAGCTGATGCATATTCCATTCATTATCATGTGTAATTTTTCCATAAGTGAGAATCCTTGATCATTGGCATAGACAATTTTCGTTCTCACTGTTTGTGGTAATCTCATCGTTCAGAATATTTAGTTTTATTTAATCTCGTGAAACGTGTTCATAGAACTTATTCCATTTTGTATCAGTCGTACATCCAGAATCAATTATGTTTATAAAGTTTTATCGATTCGTCATGTAGGGGAAGGTCGGGACCCTTCGTACGGTTTTCACATTTAATTTTTTTATTATTTTATTTTTCCATGAATCGATCATCTGCAAGCTTAAATTTATAGTCTAACTATCTGAGATTCATATAAGTAAATGACAAATGATTTCATCTGATTGTTCAACCATAATTATGATTTAAACTAAATCTGGAAAACGTACGAATCTACCCCATCAACGGGGCACCTTCGTACAGTGTTGAGGGTACCTTCGTACGCTGTGGGGTAGTTCCGTACGTGCGATTAAAACAACACATATAAATCAAAATTCATTTATTAGCAATGAAATTAAACACAAAAATAAAGATTTAACTTCTATTAAACAAAAATAAAATACTTTAATTATAGTGAACAAAAATTACATAGCTTTTCTTAAGAAAACCAAAATTTAATTAGTTAGGTATCTTAAATTTAGAATCACATTTTTTAATCTTTGGTGCGGATTAGCACTTCTTATTTTCGGGTGTGGCAGTATAAATTCGTGGTTTTCCTGGCCGTCGTCGTCATTTTGTTTGTTTTATTACTTCTTACAACATGCGGATAGAGTCGAAACGCTTCTGGTGTCAAAACTGACTTCGAAGGAACTACTATTTGATGGATTGGTAAATTATTCAAAGCATCTGGTTCACAGGCATCAAAATCAACCTTAATAAAGATAATAAAAATAGGTATTAATATACATCGACGATAGCAATGATAGCAACACAGGACAAAGTTAATGCAAATATTAGCAATTAGCACACTAACACAATCTTTCCTACCTACCAGAGGGTTTAGTCAAGATGCCTTATTATTATTTGTATGTAGCAAGTGGAAAACTTAATTTGTATGAAAATGACAGTTCGTGTCGACAAAATATTTTCATACAAATTTAGTTGTACAATTCGTTCAAATGTGCCCCATCTAGTGCTGTCCGAAAGTACCCCACTAACTGAATAACAACAAAATATAACTTATTTTAATATTAATAGGAAAAAGTCATAAATTAAGTATTGGAGACGTATCTAAGTATATTTAGCTAGTTACTGATAGAATACTCTACACGAAAACTTATTTTATCTACGGTAACAAGAGACAAAAACATTGATCAAAAAATTACTTACCGAGCGCGAAAACACGTCCATGCCTGTAACTTCACTCTCATCGGTGCGAATTTCGCGAAACTTCGTTGATGTATAGTTCGTACCTCGACTCATGCACACATACAAAAACAAGACTGTACTTTGTTTCGTTCAAGTTTTATTTCGACTGTATGAATGTGCCCCGCGTACGAAGGGTAACGATCTTCCCCTATATAAGAAATGTGATGCTCTAATATCTTTAATCAACAGGATGCCGCCGGCGCAGAATGTTGGTTTGCTTTCTCGTCATGTCACGCTTCTAGAAGAATGTGACATCAAAAGTAACAGCAGAGTGAACAGTTTGACACAAAGTGATATAAGTGACAAAAGTGATGACTTTGACATAAGCTTTTATGAAAGCATTGAATTCAAACCACAGATAAGATGGCCAGATTTATTAGTTCAAATATCTTTACATTTAGTAGCAATTTATGGCTTGTACCTGATATTAACGAATCAAGTTAAATTGTATACTCTATTATTTGGTAAGTCTACGTACTTTTTATCTAACTTATAATGTAAATATTACAGCTGATATTAAAATTTTTCCTACAGAACTTTTAGAAAAATAATTTTGACTAGATTATGCTCCTTACATCGACAATATAGGGATTTAAAAACCAAAAACTGGTAATGTAACGCGTCGTATGAAGTTTTTTCATCAAAAATAATGACAAAAACTTTTTTTATTCTAACACCAAAATTTAATTATTCAGTTTGTAATGAATGTTTCTAAACAACATTTCAATCAGAATGTAAAACTTGTTAGTCAAATATGATGAAGGGTCTCGCTTCTCGTTATCTTTTGTATTATTGCGGCACTCTTGTTTATAATCCTTCTATCAGGAAACCACTGAAATCTTTAATTTTCCTATAGTTATCCTTATGTTTATCTAAAGTTATGTTATATTAATGTAAAATAAAATTATTTTAAGGCCAAGGCCACTGTTACGAGGCAACATACAAAATACAATTATGAGAAACGAACAACAGGTCATCTGTCCCAAATAACTTCAGTTTTTTTAAGGGTGTCCTCTCTTTTCATTTCCTTAAAACATGTTTAATGGAGTGTCTGAAGTGTTTCAAATACTTCTTTTTGTATAGTTAATAGGTTTATTGTTCATGATAGTAGTATGATATCTCTGTGGTTAAAATGTGAACTATTTAATCGTTAATAGTATTTGTGCTAAAGGCAATGGCTAGCTGAAGTTAAACTTATTTCTGGTTCTTAAAGATTTGAAGTTTTTGAAATTTGTATACATGCAATTTCTGTTTCTGTTTCGTGATCATTTATTTTTCTTAATAGACAAGTAGGTGATGAGTCTTTTGTGCCTGACACACGCCGTTGACTTTTAGGATCTACGTCATGCCTGGTTTCCTCTCAATGTTTTTGTTCACAGTACGAGCGAGTGCTACATGCGCAAATAGACAAAAGTCACATGTTACAACTACTAAGCTGCTTTAACGCATTATTTCTAAACTTCCAGTCCTTGCCACAATATATACTTCGGGCTTCGGAATTACTGCCGGAGTTCATCGACTGTGGTCACATAGAGCATATAAAGCGAAATTACCATTGCGATGCTTGCTCGCTCTACTTTTCACCATTACAGGTCAAGTAAGTGTTTCATACTGTATCATATCTATATCATTATTCCAACATAATATTCGACAGTTTCGTGATACCGGACAAATAAGATAGACTTAGTCATTATTTATTTACCCGGCCCCAAAACTTTCACAATTTTGATTAGTTTACGGAGTTACACATGGGAATAGTATATATATTTACATAATAAGAATACAATTCATTTTAAAAATTATAGTGATTATTATGTAGTGAAGTCAGTTTCACTAAAATAGGCATTTGTTTTGAATATATATATGAACTATTACTTTCTGTAATAATTGACAATTACAGACAATTAGGTTGCCCAATAGAAATACGTCATTACAATGTATAAAGTCAATTGGTTGACCCATCTTTATTAATGCGAAACAATGTTTTATTACAATATCTTTCAAGGATTCTTTGTATAACAGCCATTTCTACTAATGAATTTTCATTACATGTAATTTACCCAAATTACTTCTTTGTCTTGTCGAATTTGATATTAAAAAAAATGAACAAAATTTTCCTTTATAATAATAATCCAGTGGCCATTTAACCCTTTCTGGGTCTTGCCTTCAGATTACCTCAATTTCTTTGATAATTTTTATTTCATAGACAATTTGATCAGCATTCCGTCTGATACATGTCGTTGATTTTTGGATTTGATACATACCGGTTTCCTCATGATGTTTTACGAGCAAGTCTAGTGTGTTTTAAATCCTATATACTTTGAATAAAAAAAGGAACTTTTATTCATTAATTAAACCTTTTGAAATATTATATTTAAAGGAATGAGTTTTTAAAAACCGTATCCCGAAGGTTACAAAAGGTTGGCCGATATAAAAACTTTAATTAAACGTATGTTGATCATAAAATATATATCTCATGACAAATTATTAAAAGCGATGTTTATATTATAAACTCAAAGTTACTCGATACTAAGAAATGTAAAATTAAATAATATAAAAATGCTAATAAAATGTAAATAAAGTTTCTACGATCGTCTGTATAATGTTTAACCACCGAGACTTAAGATAGATAAGAACTTGTATGAGGAATATACAGCCTTTGTTTATACAAATAGATAACAGAATTTACATACATTGAAAATTATCAAGGTATCATTAAATTACGGTCTATTTAAAAAGAACACTCTAAGGATATTATGGCATTTTCAAAAAGCACTTTGAACACTAACACACTTTAATATTGTGTTCAAAGTATAATTTAAAAAAAAAGTTATGATATTACAGCCTACGCGGAAAGAATGTTCAATTCTAATTTCAGGTGCTAATTTAAATTGAAGGAGAATTCGAATGACGTACATACGCGATGTAAACCACAAAACTTGTGGTTTCTGTAGTGCGCTACTGTTCGAATTCCATGAAACTTGAAACAATGCATTGGTGATATATTTTAGTTCTATGGACTTTTACATAAATAAACCGAAACGTTATTTTCAAATATACATTATTCGCTGCTGTTATCGTTGGTTAATTTACTTTATTTCGTATATTTATAAAATTGAAGTTTTATGAATAAGTTATAATTAGCAAATATTCATTCTTTTTTATTAATTGCAGAGGGATATCTATACTTGGGCACTCGATCATCGAGTGCACCACAAGTATACGGAGACAGTAGCTGATCCCCACGATGTCCGACGTGGGTTTTGGTTCGCCCACGTTGGCTGGCTTGTACTAACCCCCCACCCAGCAGTCGAGAACCGACGAAATGCTCTGAACAAAACATCACAAGATCTAAAAGACGATCCAGTTGTTAGATTCCAAAAATTGTAAGTTATAAATATACTTTATTCATACCTAAATCAGCTGCGTTGCCTGAAAACTTGCCAAAAACAAACTACATGTGCAGATTTTTATATATTATATATACTTTTACACTTGGTGTGACAACTGGCATTTCACATAAAGATACAATATTTTTTTAAAGTCTTTGTTACCTATATTATTAATTAATTAATTAATTATATTTTTTTATGTCACTATTAATATTTAGAGAATTATGTAAAACAGAATAAAATCGGCAGTGTAAGGTCAATTGAAATACCAAAATGTATGTAGATGATATTACCAAATTATATTATTAAAATTTTATAAATTGAAACACTTCACTCTTATAATTGAAACAAACACTTAACCAGAAACCGTAGACAACAAAGAAGAACGAATTTCATAGAAAAGCAGCTTCATCATTCATCATGTCATATCTATTTTTTATCTATTTCCCAACAACAATAGTTAATCTGATTACGTTTCTGGTAATCACAAATTCTTCGTCATCGTTTACTGGAATAAATGTAAGCTATACTATCGACAATTTTATTGTAAGTATTCGTAGCTAGTACAACGTTAGATATAAAAATAATTTGAGTAAATATTCCTCCTTTATGCCGTTTTACTGTAATTATTCTTAACTAAAATTATAATAACAATATTTATTAGTACATAGTTAAGTTAAAAAAAAAAAGTATTCTACCCGTACCCCCTCGACGTCCGTCGTTCCACAACTGAGCGTTTTTAAGGCAGTTTTTCCCGCGCACCACTACTATTTTCCTACTACAGAAGTTCCAAACCAATTCGACTTGGGGTCCAGAAAAGAGCTTACCAATTCTTAAAAGGCCGGCAACGCACTCGCGAGCTCTCTGGCATTCTCTCAATGCCTCCTCGCAATTCTTTCCATGGTATCACTTACATCAGGTGAACGCCCTTCCCGTTTGCCCCACAAATAATAGCGTAAATTAGATAATTAGAATCTAATCTAGTTATTTAATAAATATTTTTAGCATAGTAATTATCAACTGACTCAAATTAGCGTCCAACATGAGTATATAGTAATTCCTCATAGGTATCGAGATATTTTTCGATAGTAGACTACGAAAAACTTTAAACTAATTAACACAAGTAAATAAAAAAAAAACTACGGGTTGCACTCCGGGAGTGCCGGCAGAAGTGAAAACTTGAATATTAACGTTGTGCATTTTTGATATTTTGGAATGGTTAGGGAATAATTTTGCACGAATTGCTTTAATTATCAGTGTAAAGTACTATCATTTATATGGTAGAATACAATATTTAGACTATATATATGGGGCCCGTACGATAACTACACAAAATATAAAATTAATATTAAATAATACAATTAGGGAAAATTCACAATTTTTGTTGGCATTTTTATTCGGGGCAGTCTGACCAAATCGTTAAATAAATTTAGACGTTTCGCAAAAATTAAACCGGCGTCGGGACGTGACGACCCCATCGCCCACTGGTGATAATAGACGCCCGTTTCGGGGCGTCCTCCCCTTCGGCTCCCCCCCATATGAAATAACCTGACAAGGTTGATTTCATCGCACAAACAGAATCAACCCCCCTTTTCTAGGGGGGGGGTTTTTCTTTTTTTCCCCCGCGTTTCGTTCGGTGAGGGGGGGGGGGGGGGGGGGACCCCGGGGCCCATCCTCCCCCATATGAAATATGAAGGTGCAGAACAAACAGAATCTACCCCAGGGGGGTACCACACGCGCTCGCGGTGGAGAATCCACCTCTGGGCGTCCAACACCGGGACACTCAACAGTTATCGTTCTCGGGGCAAACGGAGCAATTCAACAAAGGCACCCCCGTCCACGCTCGCCGTGGACCTCACAAATGTTAGGGGGCTCAATTCCAATATCAACGCAGTCCACTACCATTTAGAGACTGCGAAGCCGGCCTTGCTCTTTCTTACCGAGACTCAGATTTACTCCCCGACTGATACTTCCTACCTCTCCTACCCGGGGTTCAAATTGGAACATTCGTTTGTGCCGCGGGCGGGAGTTTGCGTGTACGTCAGAGAGGATATCTGTTCTCGTCGCCTCGGGACGCTTGAAGGAAGGGACCTATCTAACCTTTGGCTGCGCGTAGACTGCGATGACCATCCGCGATTCTACGCATGCCTGTATAGGTCCCATAGCGGAAATACCGAAACTGACCGACTCATTGAGCACATCCAAATGGCTACGGATTCCCTGCTCGAAAGGGTTCTTACCGCTGAAATCGTGATACTTGGCGATTTTAACGTCCACCATGCCGATTGGCTCAGCTCTGAAACCACCGATCACGCGGTTCATCGGATCATTGTGTGGTCCGGAGTACTGTGCCATCTACGCGCCCTTCACGGCCCCGCTTTATGGGTTGTCGCCGTATTTGGCACTATAAGTCAGCAGATTGGGACGGGATGCGGTCTTTCTTTGCGTCCTACCCTTGGGGGCCTATGTGCTTTTCGCCGGAAGCTCCAGATTCCGTCGCCGCCTCTGTCGCCGAAGTGGTTCTGCAGGGCATGGAACTCTTTATTCCATTTTCTGCGGTGCCGATCGGTGGCAAGTCTCAGCCCTGGTTTAAACGTTCTTGCAAGGCGGCCTCGCGTCGAAAGCGAGAATGCTTTAAGGCATGGGCGGAAGCGGCGAAATCTCGTGATGCCAATACCAGCGAACTTAAAACAGCATATAACTCAGCCTCCAGGTCCTTCAAACGGGAAATCACTAAGGCAAAGTCAGAGCACATTGCCAGATTTGGCGAGAGATTGGCATAGCTCCCTTCAGGGACTCGAGCCTTCTGGTCTCTCGCCAAAACTGTCCAAGGGAATTTTTGTCAGCCCGCCATTCCGCCACTGCACAGGGAGGATGACTCTCTGGCCCACACTGCGAAGGAGAAGGCCGACCTTTTGGGCTGTCTCTTCGCGTCCAACTCGACTTTGGATGACCAGGGAAGATCACCACCGACCATTTCGCGGTGTGATTCTTCGATGCCGGAAATCACATTCCGGCAACGTGCTGTCCGCAAAGCACTATCTTCCTTGGACATTCATAAGTCGAGCGGGCCGGATGGTATCCCCCCAATTGTGCTGCGTACTTGTGCTCCTGAGTTGGCTCCGGTCTTAACGCGCCTTTTCCGGTACCTTTACTCGCTCGGCACTGTCCCGAAGTGCTGGAAGACCGCTTCGATACATCCGATCCCTAAAAAAGGCTATCGCTCTGATCCGTCCAACTATCGCCCAATAGCTATAACCTCCTTGTTCTCCAAAATAATGGAAACCATTATTAATTGCCAGCTCTTGTGGTATCTAGAGGGCCACCAGTTGATTAGCGATTCTCAGTACGGCTTTCGTCGTGGTCACTCAGCTGGTGACCTCCTTGTATACCTCACGCATAGGTGGGCAGAGGCAATTGAGTCCAAGGGGGAGGCGCTGGCGGTAAGTTTGGACATAGCGAAAGCCTTCGATCGGGTGTGGCACAGAGCACTGCTCTCGAAGCTTCCAGCCTATGGGCTTCCCGAGAAATTATACGATTGGATCTCCAGCTTTCTGGCCGATCGGAGCATCAAGGTCGTCATCGACGGAGCATGTTCCGACCTTAAACCTGTGAACGCTGGGGTCCCACAAGGCTGTGTTCTATCCCCGACCCTATTTCTTTTGCATATCAATGATATGTTGCAACTTAGCAACATTCATTGCTATGCGGATGACAGCACTGGGGATACTTTTTACACTGGCCGGGCAGGTATTTCTCGGGCAGTTGTTGATGAGTACCGGAACAAACTTGTGTCTGAAGTCGAAACTCTACTACGTGGAGTCTCAGACTGGGGCAGACAAAACCTAGTCCAATTTAACCCCAAGAAGACACAAGTTTGCGCTCTCCGAGCGGCTTGATCCTTTGGCGTTGAGTAGAGATGTGGGGTCACTCTGCATCTTCTACCGCATTTACCATGGAGAGTTTTCAGAGGAGTTGTTCGGATTAATACCTGCAGCTGAGTTTCATCATCGGACGTCGAGACAGAATACGAAATTCCACCCGTATCACCTCGACGTCCGCCGTTCCACAACTGAGCGTTTTCTAAGGCAGTTTTTGCCGCGCACCACCACTATGTGGAACCAGCTGCCCACTGAAGTATTTCCGAACCAATTCGACTTAGGGTCCTTCAAGAAAAGAGCGTACCAATTCTTAAAAGGCCGGCAACGCACTCGCGAGCCCTGTGGCATTGAGAGTGTCCATGGGCGGCGGTATCACTTAACATCAAGTGAGCCTCCTGCCCGTTTGCCCCCCGTTCTATAAAAAAAAAAAACCTTGATGTATTGACTTAAGGTCCAATTCCACATGCATCAATACTATATAGCACGAAGTTCATAATCCTTTAAAAAAACATCCGTCTTACGAATTTGTCCTGACGCGAGTTTAACATTTTTTACCCATTCCAAAAAAAATTTACAACCCCGCTAAAGAAGTTTTCACTTCAACAATTTAAAAAAATTGTTCGTTCCGTTTATGAATTATTAGAGTAATAGAAGACTTATAGATAAAATAACCATGTCTAATGAAGTAACACTTCTTTATAACAAGTTTATATTACATACGCTGAAAGACAAAAATAATGATGACTAAACTATGGTAAGTGTGCTATCTGATTATATCAAGGACAAAGTAATTGTTTTTGGTTATACATTGTAAAACTTTTTAATATGTAAACTTGTAGGTAATAAAAGCATATAAATAAGGTAATATGATTAACTTGACAATTGATAAATAAAACGGACAAAATATTCATTTCAAAAATGCTTTTGATTTTACGCTGAAGCCTTGTTATGGAATAGGTTGGTCACATCATTCGATTTATTCGTTGAAACGACCAGAACATATTATATACTTTATACAATACGTTATTATATAACGGGGTTTAATGAAAAAGCGACTATAAATATTTGTAGGCATTCACCTCTAAGCGGCGTACGTGTAGTGTCAAACGAATAATCATTGTATTTATTTTCCCATATAAATATTATTTTTTTACAGTTAATATATAGATGCGTAGATTTGATTTCATTGATATATGATTTATATAAACAAGTAGGTGATAACGCTTTTATCGCGCACCTGCAATGATTTCTATTCTATTATTCTATTTATAGTGCACGTGCAGTAACATTAATGGTTCGAACTCTCGGCCAAGCAATTAAGATAGCCTACTCAAAAAAATAACCATGTCTTTCCAATGTTACTTTTAACTTGTGTGAAAAGATTTATGTTTAACTAGTTAATTAGATCAGGTAGCTAGAAATTAGAAAATTGGTCGTGGCCTACCTAGATCTATGTCTTATTGTCTAGATTTAAATATCTACATACCTATACGTCGAATTTATCTTACACTCTCCTGACTCACATACTTTTAATATCCGTAACATTGGCCTCGAAATTTATGTAATGCGATATATCAGCGATTCTTTTTTTTATAATTTTATATTCATTTCAGGTTCTTCATTCCACTATTCCTAATACTTAACATTATATTACCGCTGGGTATTCCCATATACTACTGGGACGAGGACTGGATGACGAGTTTTTCAGTCAGCTTTGTACTAAGATTTACCATCACACTTAACATTGCGTACTGCGTGAACAGCTTCGCACATTTATGGGGAAATAAACCTTATGACAAGTACGTTTTTTTTATCTGTTTAACTACAAATAAATTACATATTTATTTTTAAGTTTTAGCTGATGACTCGCTCTTCAATACTGGTTTAATTGGTCTGAAGACAAGACATCCGCTTTTAATGGGATGATGTGTTACAAGCTTATGCAGCGACGTAGAATAAATCAAATTAATAAATCTATTACCGCTTTATGCAAAATTGCTAAGTATTCCTCAAAAGGCGTTTTAGTTAAAAAAAAATTAACTTTCTACCATAAGAAACTTTTTTTTTTAATGTATGACATCTCAAAAGAGTAGCATGCCTGCAGTTGCGATATCGTGTAGTATTTACATTAATATGATGCGAGGACGGATTTTTAAATATAGGATTGAAATTCCAGATAAAATTATATTATCTAAATAAATTTTTAGATATATTAAATCTGTGGAGAACCAGATCGTGAGCCTCGCGGCCCTGGGTGAGGGTTGGCATAACTATCACCACGTCTTCCCTTGGGACTACAGGACTTCAGAACTCGGCAAAATTAATATATCTACATCTTTCATTGACTTCTTCGCTAGAATTGGATGGGCGTATGACTGTAAGACATTCCAAATAGTATTAAAGTATTTGAATTGTGGCCGCTCTGAGGTCGAAATTAGGATATAGGATTTTTTACTTATTTTTTGAACGGATACATTCCCTGTCTTTTGTTCTTTGACCACGTTCACAACTGACGCCAGTAATTCATTTGCGTTTCTTTTTCTGCCGGTTACCAAACTTATGGTTCATTTAAAATCCCAGTCAAGCTACGGTGAGACAAATTTTTGTGATATTTAAATATGCCTTTTTTCAGTAAAAGCAGCAACAATGTCAATGATAAGAAACAGAGCTGAGCGAAGCGGTGATGGCACATTTCACCATCAAGAAGAACCTTACCCACAAACCTAACTTTCATTCCTACCAGATCAAAGTATACTTTATATTAAATGTATTTTATATTATTTATACAAATAAAAATTATTTAATGTTGTAATTTGTTTATCATCTAAGAAATTCCATAACGCTAACTTGGCCTGAGGCTTGAGAGTTGAGACTTGAGTCAATTTGCGACAAGCATTACTCACGAATTTTTATGGAAATGGTCACTTGTGAATGTCATTCTCATACAAATTCGCATGGCGGTAGTGGGTCACACCTGTTGTAAAGTGATTTTATCCCAAGCCCCAGGGTAGGTGGTTCAACAAGGTTCAACTCTGGAGGAAAAAATATTGTTTAGGGTAGAAAATGCTTCACTGATGATTTTTTAAGGCGTTGTCCTCACGACCGCTATCTACTTAACCACTGAGATTTCATATGTTATGTTTGTTGTGAATGAACTGAAATAAATAGATTGAAAATCTATTTACGAACATAACGTGTAACTTGTTACGTACACGTTCTGTGGTAGCACCGGCAAGATGCCATGCCTTGTCAAGTTATACAACGGTCCGGTAAGTAAAAAAAATAAGAAGAAAAAAAAATATTGAACCTAGCACGAACATACGCTAACTAGTGGGTAGACTCCTTAATATATTATATAAAAAAGTGTATATAAGTCTTAAACGCGAGAGATTTCCTTTAATTAGACTAAATCAAACAAAACATACAATTTTTATTTGTTTGATGTATCGATGATATGATACTGATTACATATTTGCCATCCAATTATGGTTTCGTCGATATTACAATTTGGAAAATTTTACATTCGGTGTAACTTATACACTGAAACAACAAATCTATTTGAAAATGTTGGAAAATTCATTGGTAATTTCATACTTCAGATAATTTGGTCGACTTTATCTAACGTTAAGGTTATAAACAAGCTGCAAGAATGGATAGTGAAAATGCAAATAGAAAACAATAAATTAGGAAACAAGGAAGCAGTTACAAAAAATAACCTATAGAAGAGAAAGTTACGAATAAAGAAGTACACTACAAGAACCCCCACGTGAAAATAAAAAATCGTCTCGCGATATAACACTATAGAAGACATAAACAAGCATTGAAAACGCAGAATTAAAATTTGACCGAACACATACAAGAGGCAAACTAGACAATGACAGAAAAGATGAAGACGCCCTCGCGAGAACTAGCATTGCTTATTGTTAACAGGACGAGCCGAAATGGTGCAAAGCAGATACTACAGACGTAAAACGTAAAACGTCACTAACCAATTAAAACATCGACGCTCCATAGTACCACAAGCCCATGAACAAAAAATACCTGTGAAATGACCCAACGTGAATTACGCTTAGAAGGCTGTTACTATATCTGAAAATAGCTCTGAGCACTATGCCGTCATTTCTGAGCGGTACTAGGAGTACGTGAGTGAATGGACTTTCTCAGGTACAATTGGGGAATTTCGACTAATTATTAATGTACGGCTTTGTTATAAGTGTATAGATGATTAAAAATAAATGTCGAAAAACCTAGTGCCGTACTAAAGTGATGGTACCGGAAGTCGGTGCAAATTTTTAATTCGACGATAGTTGCAGAAGCAATATAGGTCATTTATTACTGTACGGCATTTGTGTAATTCCTTCTGGACACATATACAGATACTTTACCCGTAAACGCCGTACATATTTCCAGCGGAGCGGTCGAAAGCCAAGGGTCGCAACCCAACCCCTACACCCATATACCCTAAGGTCATTGTAAAATGTACGGCAACATGTTCAAAATATTATTTAACACGGACAATAATGTTTTATAATTATGCCGTCCAAAAATTATAGTTAATATTTGTGTAAATAAATATTTATCGAAATTTCAGGATTTACCGAGTTCTTACTGCTGTAAGATCAGAGAATAATGTACGGCAACTTGTTTTTTTACATAATGTTACTAAATATTACCGTTGTATCTTATAGCCGTTCATTATAAATGGTAACAAATAAAAATATTATGATAAAAAATATATGAAATTTCCGAAATTTAGATGACTTTTCAAATATTCCTAGAGTAATATGGGTAGTAATATTTTCAAAGATTATTATTATTTTATATGTAACAAATATAAATAAACAAAAAAAACCAGATGCCGTACATTTTACTCCAGATTATTCTTTACAGCTGATAAAAACTTCGACGACGTTTGAGGTGTCCCTTAAGGTCATTAATAACTGTACGTATCTGAGTATACTACCATAAGGCTGTAAAGTATATTTACAGCCTTATCATACCAGCAGAGAGAGGTAAAGGAAAAATATTTTTAACAAAAATAAAAATATAATACAGGGCGTCCCAAAGTTATAGGATATGAAGGGAAAGTACCTTTAATATCGTAGATAGGGTATTTTACTGAAAGAAGACTTTATGTTATTTTTAAAAGTTAGTAATTCTGCATTCAAAGATTTTGTAAAAATTACTTGCCTCGTCTGGAAATCGAACCGGCTTAAATGTAAAAAAAACACCCCTACTTTTATGATGCCAATCGAAAGAATGGCCAAAACCTAATAACTTTTCTAAAGTAACAGACTCGTAGGGGATTTTTTTAGGCCGAATACGATAGATAATATTTTTAATTTGATTAAAAATATATATTCACACTGTTCCTTTCTTTTAAAATACTATGTTACTTAAGAAGAGTTATTAGTTTTTGGCCATTCTTTCGATTGGCATCATAAAAGTAGGGGTGTTTTTTTTTTTACATATAAGTCGGTTCGATTCCCAGACGAGGCAAGTAATTTTTAGAAAATCTTTGAATGCAGAAATACTAACTTTTAAAAATAACATAAAGTCTTCTTTTAGTAAAATACCCTATCTACGATATTTAAGGTACTTTCCCTTCATGTCCGATAACTTTGGGACGCCTGTATTGGTAGGCGGTAGTATAATTTGCCATTTCACAGACTAGCGGACTATCAAAAGTGTACGGCATTTATCTTTCATTGAAGATGGTCTAAAGTATTAATAACCTGAGTTAGTGAGCCTCTCTGTGGAACGCCTTATAGAAGTATCTTGTGTGGAGCTGGAGCAATTTATCATTGTTAGTTTGTATAGCCCACCTTCAGCTCAATATGATAGTTTAGAAAAAATATTGGAGCAGGTTCTGTACAAATTGCGAAAATCCAAGAAAAAATTGATCGTTAGTGGAGACTTTAATGTAAATTTGCTTGACAACTGTAGTTCAAGTAAACGTTTGCTAAATCTGTTTAAATCATATAATTTAATTAATACTTTTATTGTACCAACTAGGGTAACAGCCACCACGGCAACATGTATTGACAATATCTATAGTAATATAGTTCCTCTCAACGCCTGTATTATCAACAAACTTACATCTGACCACTCTGGTCAATTGTTTGAATTTGAAATACTAAAATGTAAAGATCATAAAAAGAAAATATGCACAATTCCTATAACAGAGGATCGGTTAGACAGTTTTAGGAAAAATTTGATATTTAAAATGCCATTTTTGCGTAGTAACCAATGCCCTAATAATTTATATAGCACATTCTTTGATTCATTTATTGGTGAATTCAAAAATGTGTTCACTCCAAAGACTTTTTTGGTCTCGGAGAAACCAACCTTTTGTGACTGGGCAACTCCGGAGCTACACAAAAAAAGGCTAAAATTGTATGAGTTGTATGATGAAAAGCAGTATAATGACAGTGAAGAATTTAAAACTTATGTTAGGATATTCTCAAAAAGTTTTAGGCAAGAGTGTAGAATCGCTAAGGCGAAACACTTAAGTCTTAGAATAAACAACAGCTCTGATAAGATAAAGGCTACTTGGAAAATTATAAACGAGGAGACTGGAAGAACCTCCAGAAAGGATACTGAATTTAAAGTGAATATAAACGGCAAAATAATTAGTTCCGACCTCGAAGTAGCCTCTGCATTTGAAGAGTTTTTTACTAACATTCCTTTAAATACAACCAGCGTTTTAAATTCTTCACCATCAGCCGCCCTTTTATTATTGAAAAAGAATGTTCCTGTATGCAATCATAAGTTTGTATTTAGCCGCATTAGCTGCAATGACATTATAAAAACATTTAAACAGCTAAAAATAAAAAAAAAAAAGATCTTTGGGGTGTATCTGTTTTCATTTTACAATCAGTAATCAATACTATCAGTTCAGAGTTGGCTATAATATTTAATGAATGTATAGATTGTGGAGTCTTTCCAGACCAGATGAAGATAAGTAAAATCACACCGTTATTCAAGACGGGCAGCACTTCGGACCCCACAAATTTTAGACCCATATCTGTGCTGCCGGCTTTGAGTAAAATCTTTGAAAAAATCATTCTTGAACAATTATTGATACATTTTAATAATAATAAAATTATGCATAGCCAGCAGTATGGTTTTACAAGAGGTCGCTCCACAGCAGATGCTGGCATTCAATTAATTTCCGAGATTTTAAATGCTTGGGAAAATTCTCATGATGCCATTGGAGTTTTTTGCGACTTATCAAAGGCTTTTGACTGTGTCCATCACGAAATCCTTATCAAGAAACTTCAACACTATGGCATTGGCGAAAAAGCGCTAAATCTTGTGGAATCATACCTGAGCGATAGAATTCAAAAGGTAAATGTAAATGGAGCTATATCACAGGGATCCTCTGTTACTATGGGAGTACCGCAAGGCTCCATACTTGGTCCCTTCTTATTCCTCGTCTATATAAATGACCTGCCATTTCTTGTAAAGGAGCTTCACGAGATAGTACTGTTTGCTGATGACACTTCGCTTTTATTTAAAGTGAAACGACAAAATCCATCACTTGATATCGTAAACAGTGCCATCTCCAGTGTAGTTCACTGGTTTAATACAAATAATCTTAAGTTAAACGAAAAGAAGACAAAATGTGTTAAATTTGTAACTACAAATGTAAAAAGTAGTCATTCTCAAATAATAATTAAAGACGAGGAAATAGACTTTGTTGATAGTGCGGTATTCTTGGGAAT